TCACTTTTCAAAATTTTTCTCATCCTAGAAGGCCCAGGTCCCTTGGCAACATCACGTTTTCTCTGATCCCTTCCATGCAATTTATCCTGCTTTCTCCAAGCTCCTGCTCAATGTTTGCCATCCTGAAATCATTCTGTTGCCTGTTCGGGTTAAATGCCATTCCCACTAATTTATGACTCTCTCGAGGGTGGGGACTTCCTTTTTCATTGCATTTCCCAGTGCCTTATTCAGAGGATGCTCAGAAATATTTTTAATTTTATTTAATTGGCCCTATGAAATGCATGTTATGCCCTTGATTTGGCTCTAAGTTTGTAGCTTTATCATCTAAACTGAATTTCTATTCTGATTCTGAAAGCAAATTTCTACTTTCTAACTTAGTTTTGAAAAACAGATCACATTTTTCTTCTCCTGCCTCTGATCCCTTGTCTCAGGGACATCTGGTGAGGGCTTCCTCTGGAAATGGACTTTCATCTCGCTAGCCAGTCAGCCCCTCTCCCCCGTGCCCTCCTTCATACCCTTTAAGATGGAGTCCTTCTCGTGAATCCCAAGCCTTTGCTATGTCCTGCTACCTGGAAACACTTTGTTCCCCCAACTATCTGCTTATCTAGTTGCCTGAAATTCCAAATTGTGTCTGATCTTAGATTTCTACTCCTCCTTCCACCGGTTTGAATTCCAGATTGCTCTAACACTAACTGCTTGGTTAGAACCTTTCCTGTGCCTGTGACCACAGCATCTAAATACAATGTCACCACCCGCCACCTGAGGACACTGCACTTGCTTATGACTGAGATCCCTCCTCCAGCACAAGACTCCCACTGCAGGAGTGCCGGGGTCTAGGTGCTGGCTGTGGTCTGCGCAGTCTCCACCAAGTTCACCTTCCCTCACCAGGCATTTGTGCATACAACAGGAATCAACTGGCAGGCCTTGTTATGTGTTGATGGGATTGTGTGGACTTCCCTGAGGAGCTAACACTCTCCTATAATTGGAAAAATGTGCAGTGATTTTCTAATGATTTTTAATTTAGGAATCATGTATATGTTTAATCAATTACACCATGCTACTTAATTATGCTTTCAGATGAGAGTAGTAATCACTTCGGTAGTTAAAGTCCTCTCAGTTGAATTCATTCCATTGGGTAGTTATTTCTCTTTTAATCTATTCATGCTTATTAATCTAGTCACTTGTGGTGATATGTGATACCTCCATCGCAATGGTTTTCGATCATCGTAGAGGGGATAAATTCATCCGCCAGGGGAAATTTAGCAATGTCTGGGTACATTTTTGGTTGTTGTGAATGGGGGTGCATCTTGGCATCTAGTGGGTGGAGACTAGAAACGCTGCTAAACATCCTACAGAACAGTCCCCACAAAAAAAATTGCACAGCCCCAAGTGCTAGTGGTGCTGAGGTTGAGAATCACTGCTTCTATCATAAAGGATAATTAATAAAATCCTTTGGTACCTCCTAGGTACTTCTGTGTTATTGTAGGGCAGGTACATTTCCTTAAACCCACAAGGTATCCTATATATCATAGGTGCTTTTGCATTGGTGCGCTGTGAATTGGCAGCTCTCCCGACCTTTTCCTTACGGAATTTCAGACAATCTCTTCTCTTCCTTGTACATAAAATGAACTATTGTCAATGGAATTCATCTGACACATAGACCTGGTTTTATTCTGTCTTTCAACCCCTCATTTGCCTCCCCACTCTCCTGTAAGTGACATACGAACTCTGCCACCTGAGGTGGCCGCATGCTTCTTGCCCCACGGATGCTGCATCAGACTATTCTGAGTTTCTAGTTTCCCTTCTCTCTTCAATACCTTTTGCTCATTTGTGTGCTATTATGACATATTTCTTTACTATGACTTTCTCGCTTTTGTCAGTATGTGTCCTCTTTTACTAAATGAAACTGCCACAATACTTTTTATTCCCATGCTTCATTTTAAAGTTTAGTATCCAATTAGTGTTTACGGATCGTCATTTCAATTCATGAAATAGAACTATTCTAGTTTATTACAATAAGTGCAAAGCTTACTTTGTTTGGGGCAAGGAGACACCACCTAACTACCGATTTGTGTTGACCTCACTAGGTTTACCTGAAGAAGATGGGTACTCCAGGTTGTCTGTGGGTGGCACCGTGACGTCATCATTTCAGAGACACAGGGAGAGTCACACCACTCAGGTAATGACATACGGATGTCCACATGTGCAGCAACACCTGAAATTAAATTACGACAACGTGCATTAAATTATGATCAATATATTTTATTGCTGGACTAGAGAACTCAGTTATCTCACCCCTGCACTATGCTTCTTCAACTTAACATTCTCCTCTCTCCTCTGTCTCAGCTGACTACAGTTTTCTGCTTGTTTCAAAAAAAAAAAATAATAATAAAGTCCAAAAGAACTGAAAATTAATAAATGGTTTTAAAAGGCATATTGCAGACATAAATTATGTCATGGTAAAGTCACAGTCAGGTGAAGACAATAGTAAAACTCCTGAATGACTTCGATATGTTTTCCACATTTGACCTGGGCTGAAATAGGGAGGCTACAAGTGACCACACATGAAAATAAAATGCTTTAAGTACTTGTGGTTTTATGGCATGCCATTTTGTCACAGTTACAACCTCCAAATTCCATGTAATCTAAAGTCATTTAAAATGTAACATATGAGAACACTGTAAAATGAAAATGAGATTACACTTCACAAAACTGTTTGATGTATGTCATTGATTTAATGTAAATGTTTCATGTGTGTTTGCCTAAATAACGATTATCACGTCAAGAGAAAAATAAAAATATACTAGTGTTTTTAGAAAGAAAAAAGATTTATATGATAGAATTTAGTATTTTCTTTTTATGTTGAGTTTTAAAATACCACTTTTAAT